TCAGTGTTGTAATAATCCCTTCAAGATAAATAAATAAAATAATAATAATTTGGTCACTCAGTCCACGACTGTTTGTGGGACGTCACTGTGCACAATTGTCTGCCGTGTTTCACCCAAAAGATAGTCAAGTATTGTTACCCGGATCCTATTGGAGTTTACAGTGGAGACCGCGGGGGGAGGAGAAACCAGACAGATGCCACGATGGTAGGGCCTGCGATGCCCGAAGGAGAAGATCAAACGGACCAGAAGAGCACCAGCCGGTCTGCCCTGTGATCAGTGCTCTCTCTGCTCTCTCGTCTGTCTCTCTCTTTGTTAAACTGCGATATAAATATTCCCTCCATCAAAGCAAAGAAATGCTGCTCCCGTTTCATCTCGTAATATTCCCTTTAATTTGGCTCCTGACGTTTATTGTCAGACAGACGTCCCCTATATTTTGGTACATCCTCTGTGGATCAACCCTTTAAGTCAAAGGTAATGTTTTTATTAGTTGCTTTTCGCAGCCCATTTCTGAGCCCCAAATCTGACAAAATACACAGTGATAATAACAGCCGTCTTCACATTTAATACAGCGCCTGTCATGTGGTGAGGACGTCTCCGAGAGCTTCACCAGGATTTTACTGTGAAGTGTAGTGACTGTGTTTCGTAGACAAATGCAGTAGCCGATTTGACAGCGACGTCCAAACAGCCGTGAAGCGAACAATCACATTTATTTGGGGGATTGGCCGGGCACCGGGAGAGAGAGAGGGAGAGAGAGAAACTCTCCTCTTTCCCAGTAGCCCCGCGGGATCTTTAATGTCCACCTGAACAGGTACAGACGGGACCTCAGTTTGACATCTCATCTGAAGGACGGCACCTCCGACAGTGTGTGGCTCTCACCCCCCAACCACTTCTCGTGCTAATCGGTTAGAAGTGAGATTAATAGTGAAACCCCTCATTGTTTAGTGTGTTGGGACATCCTCTCAGCATGAAAGGTGCTGTATAAATGCAATATATTGTTGCTGTTGATAATAATAATAATCCTTGCATTTGATAGTGTCTTATCCCGTCTTCGAGATGTCTCAAAGCGCTTCAGAGGATATACTGTAAAGTGAATTGACTATATTTTGTGGGCAAAATGCAGCAGCCAATTGTGCACCGCAGCGTCCCACACACAGTCGTGGATTGAATGACCAATATTCTTTTGAAGGGATTATTAACCCCAGAAAGTGATCCGCCGATCGACTAACAACCGGGTTCCCACTCACTGCTGTAAACAGAGGTGTGTGGAGTAAGGAAACTTGCCTCAGGTTTCTCTCTGCCCGGAATCAAACCCGGGTCCTCGCGCTGGCGATGCGAGTGTCTAACCCCTGAGCTACAGGACTCCACGGTTCAGATGTAATTCAGATACAAGGAAAATCAAATCATGTGTCGACATGTGATGATGGCGGATCTTTCTACTTCAGTGGGAGCAGGGTCTTGCTTTCCTTATTGATGTATTGTGTTCATCACTGTTACCCTGTAATCTCCTGCCAGCCCTGACCACCGCTTGTCTTCTTACACAAACTGCTCGTGGACGCTTAGTGCTGCTTCTTTATCTCTGGTTTACCTTCACTCTCTCACGTCCTCACATCCTGCCTCCAGGAGCCATCTGTGTCTGGGGTCATGACACCCTTCTTCTCAAGGCTGAAATACACACATACACACACATACACACATAGGCTGCAGAACAACTCCCAAGTTATTCTCATTTTTTCTGATGGAAACTCGAGATCAACAACAACAAGATTCCATTTATAGTCGGGAGGACGTCGCAAGGCACTCGATCACTGGCTACTTGAGGTTACAGTCCTGTCGTGTGGTTACCGCCTCACAGGCCAGAGGGCCCGGGTTCAAGACTGAAGAGCCTCAAACTTCTCTAATAGTGGCTCACAGCTCGTTCCTCTAATGGGGATCAGCCTCACTGCTCTCCTCCGCACGGCCTCTGGGGGCAGTCTGCAGTATATAAGCTGTAGGTTGACCAGCGCCTGAATGGGAGTCTGGCATTCTCCCTGTTATATGGGAGGGAGAATAGAGAGACCGGGGTAGGCATTCTCTACGTTATGTGTCTCTGTTCTCTATATTCTCTCTATTCTCACTGGGGGCCGGGAATCCTCCCCCTCAGCTCCTGGTAATCCCACAGCCAAAGCCCTAACGGGGAGGGGGGTCCTCGCTGGACAAGCAGCGGGAAAGCTTGGCCAGACAGCGATAGCAATGGCCGAGCTGTGTGGGTTTAGCCGGTTAGACTCCAGCAGTTACCCCAACACACACTCTGGGCCCCCCCCCCCAAGCCTTGGCTCTCGCCAACCTGTGCCTAATACTCTCCGGAATTAGGTAAGGAGGGGGCGTCCCCCCGAGAGAGAGAGAGAGAGAGAGAGAGCGCATTCCATTCCAACAATCTCTCTGGGATTTCCGTGTGTAGTTGGGATGCAGGGAATTCTCAGTTGGGTTTGCAGACTCTGATCACAGTGATGGGTTTCCGTGTGTGTCAGACAATTAAATTTGATTTACTGTGAAGTGTAGTGACTGACTGTATTTTGTAGGTTAACGCAGCAGCCAATTTACACACAGCAGTGTCCCCTGAAACAACAAAAACAACAACAAATTGCCCCTACATAGCGTCCTCCAAGCAGTGCAGCGTCTCAGAGCTTAACAGAGCCTGACTCCGAGCCGGGGGGGAGGGGGAGATGGCCGTACATATGGTCGAAGAGAAAGGTTTTTAGGCGGCACTTGAAAGAGGAGAGCGAGGGGGTGAGGCGGAGGGATTGAGGGAGAGTGTTCCAGAGTTTTGGGGTCTAGTGGCTGAAAGTGCGACCTCCGATGGTGGGGCGGAGGGTGTGAGGGACGAGCGGAGCCGGTGCCCGTCGAGCGGAGGCCCCGGGTGGTGATTTGGGGAGTGAGGGGGTCGGGGAGGGAAGGGTCAGGGAGTGAAAAGCGCTATATC